TCAGCACAGACCTGTATTCTTCAAGGTGCCCTAGACATGACCAGGGTAGCCAGCTGTGCTTGCAGAAGATGTTTTTCCATGGAGTCCAGAGAACCAACTGAATTCATATCCTATAAATAGTGTAAATTGTGATTTAATTGTTGTTCATGACAGGCTTTTCTTACTTTTTATATAAGCCAATCTTTTCAGTTAAAAATAGATCCAGAAACGTATAGTTCATTATTTTGATTAAATTTCCTATTTAAATTGTTTCTATAAACTTTTTAATTGGTAACTATGAACACAATTATACCTTTTCCCAGATATGGAACAAGATTTAATACTTATGATAGCTAGCAAGCTAGATAGTTATTCAGCTAATGAGGTAGATGGATGATGGATGGAAGGATACATAGTAAGATAGACAGATAGATAGATAGATAGATAGATAGATAGATAGATAGATAGATAGATAGATAAAAATGATTATAGAAACCTAATTATTTTAAATTGAATAACAATGAAAAGTATAACAATATAGTATGTGAGTTATAGTGCCATGGTCTGCAATTTACAATTTTCCTAGTGTATATCTGCTATCAACTCCATGTAAATGACTTGCTGTCTTCCACTCCTGAATGGGCTTTCCCACCACCAAGGTCTAGGACAGTTAACATCAGATATTTACTCTGTTAGCCCAGAAGCTTCCTCTCTGGTGTCTTGGCATGCTTTTTCCCTTCTCAACACTAGGCTCATGTAGTAAAGGCAGTAAATGATTAGCCCCAATCCCCTTTCCCGGAGAAAGCGCTCCTTCAGAATAGATATAACCATAGAAGGCAGCAAAATCTCCTAGACCTTATAGGTTCTATGGTCTTCTGAAAACACTTTTTTGCTAGGTTTTTATCTAAGCAAATCTTACAGGAAAAGACAGCTCCAGATAAGTATAAGTAATTATTTTTTTACCCGATACCCTGACTTATTAGCTTGTTTTCTTTTATTAACAAACTTTATTTAGTGATCATGAATAGAATTGCCCAATTACCCAGAGATAGAATGAGACTTAGACTGAAGATAGATGGAGAGATAGAAAAATGATTAGAGAGAAACCTGAAATATTTCAATGAATGATGAAGACATATGTGAAAATATACTTTCTGAAATATATTGTTAAATTCTGCAAAGTACAGTCTACCACATAATCCATTTGTTGCCCTCTACTCCTTTTCCATAACCAGGATTTAGACAGTTAATATCAGACTTGACTCTCTGTATTCTGAAAGGACATAGATTCATAAACAGCTTTGTGATCATTCCACATGTCTGAGCTAGAAGTCTCCTACACCTTTGGATGACATTCATGTTTCTGTCCTTTCAAATTGTTCCCATTCAGAAATTGAGCTATTCTTTATCCTACAAACTGAAGTCTACTCAGATTACTCTGCTCTATAAACATTTGCATTACTAAGTTATCCATCTCTTTTAGTGTCAAACTGAAGAAATCTTTAGTGACTGAACTACTGTCTGGGCTTGTAACCCAGACAAGCAGAACCCCAAAACCTTACTTGAAATAAATGACCTTAAGCAAAAAGATCTGGATATGTTGCAGCAATAGAAGGGTCCTTATGAAGTCTTGAGTTCAATCCTCAGTAGCACAGAAAAAAAAAACACAAAAAGAAAGACCAGCATCTTAAACTAATGTTATATATTTTCATGTACAGAATACCCTGGTGCTGACAGGAGTTCTGTGTGGCTGCCCTGCAGAACACTAAGATGATCCCCCTATTATATCTGAGCTAAGGCTGAAGAACCATGAACACTCAGATCCCAATGTTATGATGTCATTTATAAATGTGAAAATTTCCCAACCCAGTGACTATTCAAGGGGTAGAAGTGAATGCATCCTTATGGTACTGGCAAGTATTAAGTTCATTATTCTTTCTTTGAGGACAGTAACTTCACACATTTCCAATCTACTTGTCTGTTAATACACATATATTAGCATATGGACAGGCACTACTAACATTTCGATGTGCTTTTTCCACAAAGTCTGTGTAAGAAACATTTTCCTCAGTGGACCTCTGTGTGTTTATGCTAAGAGCTAGAAGACCTCAAATATCAGTGACTTGGGGAAATTGCTTAGATCACTGAAGGACTCTTAAGAGTCAATTGCTTTGACGTGAAGACAACCAAATAATCAGCCTCTTCAACATGTGGCTTTTTAATAACACACCCGTCCTGATACAGACATGCAGATGCACATCTATGTGTGTTTAAGGGTTAAATAGACATGTTCTTAAATGGGGCTAATAGAGAAGTAAGGAGAATCTCTTATCCTTGATACTCATCCTGTAAATACAGGTGATATTTTTTCTTCCAGTCCTCATGCTGGAATGCAGGGCCTAGGCCCTTTTCTTACACTATGTGTACTCAAGACAAGTGCTCTACCACTTGAGTTAGAGCTCTACTTCCAGACCTTTTTAGTTAATTAGAAATAAGAGTCTTCCTTTCCTGTCTGGGTTGGCGTTGAACCACAATCTTCAAATCCCAGTCTCCTGAGTAGCTGTGATTACAGTTGTGAACAACCAGGCCCTGGCTTGCACAAGGCTTCTTAAACCTAACAAGGAACACTGGTTATCTTGCTGAACTGAATATTCACATTCAGTAGATTTGAGATGGTGTATAATTTTGCCTTTGTCACATAGTCTTCATGATATTGATGATGTTGAATTCTGTACACACTCTGAAGAGAAATACTGCATCCTTATTTAGTTGTTTGCTTTTTATATTGTTAAGAAAGAATTTGGTTTGCTTGTGAAGAGATTCTTACATATTTCATGCAAAAATGTCATTTTCCACTGATCTGTGACTTAATGAAACTTCCTTGCTTTGCTTGCAATATGCTGATGATACTTAAAATCAATGTGGAAATGTTCTTGGCTAATGAAATCCTCATCAAATCCTTGAGTTTTGGGTCACATGACCATAAAGCTCTCAACTTCTATTACAGAGTTTCTACAGGTAGTGTATTTCCCAGAATCATTTTCCCTCTCTGTTTTCCTGTGGATATACTAAATGAGGGCCTCACATAGGATTCTAGGCCCTAAGATGACTCAGTCATATCCATCCATAGATATACACAAGGAAATAGTTGAGAGCTGTAGGCAACTGAGGACTTCATACATTTTTACATATTTTATATGTATTGGATATGTTTTATATTTTTATTGTGCAAATACTGTACAGAGGGTTATAGTTACATGAATAAGGTAATGAGTACATTTCCTTTCGAGCATTGTTACCTCTTCCTTTGTTTTGTTTCTACCATCCTTCCCTCCTCACCTCCCCAGCTCTTCCATCCCCCCCAAGTTGTTCACTTTCAACATAGTGTCTTGCACATCTCATTGTTACAATGGGTCAACCTGTATATTATATGTTTTTACATATTTTTATGTCTATGATTTTTCTGTTAATGTATTAATGTATATATCTGATATTAGTAAGTTCATATATATAAGCCCAATTCTAACTCCTCTGATATTTATTGATGGTCATGAGTCAATTGCAAATTAATTGTTTTTTTCCAGAAGGTTCTTTGGTAGACTCAACTGCATTACTTTTATTTACATATTCCCATATTTGTCTCTATATTCTATCACTTTATGTTTATTATACAAATACTTATATTATGTAGTCAGTTCTCATAAAATGCATCTTCTATGTGTTTATGTTTCATATATAACCAGTCACTATTTCAATAATAATAAAGTGTAACAAACTCCTCTAAATCTAGGGCCTTGTAACAAAAATCATTTATGTTAGTCTTTGCACAAATCATTTATGTCAGTGCAAAGACTAATTCACAATTGCACTGATATTCCTAATCCAGGCAGGGCTTAGCTTCTTCATTTTGTTGCGGGTCCCTGGTCTTGAGTCCACTGTGTGGATTTGTTTGATCTGGAACAGAGACATAAGAGGAAATGACCACTTAGGATTATATACATGCTGCTGTGGTCAAGCTATTGTCACAAATTTATGTCCAAATATCCCCAGAACAGGACCATGCATTTTAAACCATTTGTTTTATGGCTTATCAAAATACTAATAAACATTTATTCCATTATACTTTCATACGACTGGATCATATAACTGAGAAATAATTATGAATTTGCAGTTTGGCATCCAAGAAAAAAAATTAGTTGTTGTTAATCAGACAAAGTTGTAGTTGTGTTGCTACCATTTTTTTTTTCTTAAAAGGTCTTAATTGAGGTCAAAATCTCCTAAAGCTTGGATTCCAAATCATCCCATGGAAACCTGTTAACTTGTTGAAATGCAGAGCATCATTCCTTGAAGAAAGGTGGATCAGCTAATTTGCACTTGGAACCAGTGCTCTGGGATGATGAGGACATTTCTGGTTTCAAGAAAAGAATGAGTAGAAATGCTAAATTATATATATTTAGATAAACACATATTCCTCCATTATATTCAATATATGTGATTGCCTGTGTATGTGCTTTTCTAGAAAGCTATTTCACTAGCTGACAAATGTTGATTACAAATATTTAATGTAATTTCTCATTTTGTAATTACCATTATTACAATTAATTTCTGTTGATATGATAGTAGAGTCAATAATAATATCTGTAAATGACTCCACGCGTGCTCCATTTGCAGCTCTTAGATGGGAAGTAGTGATAACAACTGACTTGTCAATCATACAGAGAGAGCAGTGTGTTGGAGGCCCCGTTATAATTATTTTTTTCTGATGACTTGTGAGAGACAATGAGTAGCCCAGGTGAGAATTAGAAATCTGATGGGCACCCCTGTATACCCTGTTAAAATTCCTAAGCAGAGAGGAGAACTGAGATTCAACTCTGACATTTCTGTCTGGTCTTCCACAAAATGCTACAACTGTGGATAAACATTGCATTAATTGTTTCTGTTAAGACGATTCCTTAAGTAAGTTAAAGGTATTCCATTAGTTCATATACATTCCAGACCTATACTTCTCCTATAAATGATACCTTGATGAAATCAGAGCATTTCCAACTTCATGCCACTTTTTCCCAGCTGGAATAGAGAGCATCATGGTGAAACAATTTATAGCATCAGAAGCAGATACACACTGGACACTGGTGGAAACTTGAGAATTCCCCAAGTTGTAGCCTGTGAGATGTCATAATTCCAGGTGTCTAAGGTGATAGAAGTGGATACAAGACACACAAGATTGATGTTGCTCTCTTGAATTTTTTTTTTTTTGTATAAAGACACAGACGTTGAACAGATGAAGATAGCATCCATTGAAAAAGGGTTCAGTCTCAGACTTCTGGGAACTATGAACCATATTACAGGGTTTCACCACACTCTCTTAAGTAGAACCAGAGTCCCAGTACATAGAAGCAGAGAATATTGTGCTTTGTGAATTTTGTATTTTCCCCAGGTTGATCCAGCCAAGAGACATTGATCATACTCTGATAATGGCTTGATGGTCAGGCAGGGTTTGATGAACACACAGAGCAGAAGGTAGAAAAGGCACAACTGGGCTTCCAGGTTCTGAACAGAAAGCATGGCAAAAGTTGTAGGCTAGTATGTGTTAAAATGAAGTATTACAAGTTTCATCACAGAGAGAATAATAATCACAGCAGACATTTGATTTTTAGATTTCTGGTTGGTTATAATATTCCTGAAGAGACAATTGCATTTTTCAATAAATACCTAATGGTTTATCTGGTATTTATATTCAGGTAATTATTCTCCTGATTGTTATAGATTGCATTTTGTTGTATTGTCATATACTCTTCACCTCTACTCAGAGTGACTCTAATATAAACCTCAATATCTTCCTCCTAGGCAGACTCACACAATCTGCTGGGCTGCTCCCCAGACCAGCCAGCCATGAGGGCAGCTCACCCAGCCAGATGGGAAGTTTTTGTTCAAGTCTGTATCACTGTGGGAGGGAGATACATACTTTGAAAACAGTAATAAACTCCAACATCCTCAGCCTCCACCCTGCTGATTGTCAGTGTGAAATCTGTGCCTGACCCACTGCCACTGAATCTGTCTGGGACGCCAGATCCTCGTTTGGAAACCAAATAGATCAGGAGGTGTGGAGACTTGCCTGGCTTCTGCAGGAACCAATGCAAATAGGTGTTTCCATTGCTATGCAGAAGGCTCTGACTAGACCTGCAGGAGATGGAGGCTGGCTCTCCCAGTGTGACAGGCAAGGACCTTGGAGTCTGGGTCATCACAACATCTCCACTGGATCCTGAAATTAGAACGAGGCAGAGAGCAAGATTATATATAAACATAGGGAGCAATGCATGCATTACTTTTATTTAGATAAATGTTTCCCCTTATTCATATTCATGATTTGATTTTTAATTTAAAATACTAAGTATTAAAAGCAATATTCTTGCAGCAGAATAGTGTCTCTGGGAGTCAAGTGCAGTAGTCCCACCTAGCAGAGTTTTAACTCAAGCACAGGTTCTAGCTTTCTGGACTGTTCCTCACTCTCTCAGACCTAAACCTCATTGCCCTAGCATGAACATCTAACACATGGGTAAGTTACCAATGGTCCATGAGAGCTCACCCTCCCACCCTCTCTGATTCTTCACCTCCCACTGCCCTTACCATGGATCCAGAGCATTAACAGCCACAGGATCTGAGACAAGGACTTCATTTTTAGGAGTGAAATGAGGAGTCTAGACAGGTCAATGCAAGATCATAGCTGAGCCTTTATTTCAGACTTAGAAAGGAAGGTCCTCCTTAGGGAGCAATATGCTCAGATGGGTGCAACAGTGTGAGAAAATAAAAAGGAACAGTGTCTATTGGCCATTCTTATTTCCGCTTCAGAGAACATTCTCTTTAAGTCTTTAGCCCACTTATTTCTTGGGCAGTTATTTCTTTGAGAATTTGTTGTTGGGGGATTCAATTTTTCAAGTTCTAAGTATAATTTAGATATGTGACCCTAATCCATTGCATGGCTAGTGAAGACCTTCTCCCCATCTGTGGGCTTTCTATTGATCTTGCTAGCTATGTCCTTTGCCATGCAGAAGCTCTTCAATTTCATGCAATCCTATTTGTCCAAACTTTCTTTGATTTGTTGTGTTTCTGGGTCTCTTTTAAGAAAATTTTTGTATGTACCCAGGAGACCTAGGGTTTCTCTGATTCCATCCTGTAATGTTTTCAGAGTGTCTGCTTTGACTTCGAGGTCTTTGATCCATTTGGAGTTGCTTTGGTGCAGGGTGATATATAAAGATCTAGCTTTAGTTTTCTACAAGTGATTAACCAATTTTGCCAGCACCATTTACTGAAGAGGCAAGAAATCCAATAACAACAGATGCTGGAGGGGATGTGGATAGAAGGGAACCTTAATGCACTGTTGGTGGGAGTATAAACTTGTTCAACCACTTTGGAAAGTAGTATGGAGGTTTCTCAAAAGACTCCACATAGAGCTCCCCTATGACCCAGCAACCCCACTTTTGGGCATTTACCCAAATGATCACAAACACGACCATACTAAAGCTACCAGCACAACTATGTTTAAACAGCATTATTTGCCACAGCTAAGATATGGAACAAACCCAGATGGCCCTCAAAAGATGAATCAATCAAAAAAATGTGGTTATATACAAAATGGAATTCTGTGCCTCCATCAGAAAGAATGACATTGCCTCATTTGTTAGGAAATGGAAAGACTTGGAAACAATTATATTAAGTGAAGTAAGCCAAGCCCAATGAAACATAGGTCCCTTGGTTTTCCTTGTTTGCAATAACTAGTATATATCTGAGACAAGGAGAAACAGTCAGATAAGTTGATATTAGGTGAAATGAACCACAAGATAGGATTCAAATGTTTTTTTTTTCCTTCTTGTGATTGTTTCTAACTTACTTATAAGATGCTTTCTTTGTTGCTTTGTATGTCCCTCCCCCATGGCATAACCCGTTTTCACTATTTGATGTTGATATAATTTGTGGAGGGGAAGGGAAAAAAATATCTTGTTTCAATAGGGATACAGGTGGACCCATTGCAAAAATGAAATATACCAGAGGTTATGGTGAAAAGCGAACTTTATAACTTTGGCCGGGGGTGGGGGTGGTTGGGGAACTTCGAGGGGACGGGGAGCGGTGTGGGTAAATGGGAAGGGACCAGAAGGTGAAACAAAGGAGGAGGCAACAATGCTTGATAAGAAATGTACTCATTACCTTGCCCATGTGATTGTAACCCCTCTGTATGATATTTTCACAAAGAAGCCTCAGTGCATGTATACATATGATCAATTAAAATTATGGTTTATTCTTTTGATTTTTGCTTTTTATTTTTTATCTTCTTTTTGGCTGTTTTTGTTTTCTGTACCCTTGTCTTGTATATAAATTTTGTTTTGTTTTATTTTGAAGAGAGTAAGGGGTACCATAGAAATGGTGGGACAAATGGTCAACAAATGCAGCAGTAATACTCACTAGACGCTGTTGAAAATGAACTACACAACTTTTGGGGCAAGGATCAGGAGGAAGAAAAGGGAGAAAATGGGGGAAGGGGTAACACTGTTCAAAAATTAATGTAGTTATTACCTGTTTTATGTAACTGTAATCACTTTGTACATCATCTATACAATAACAATAAGAAATGAAAAATAATAAGAGTAGTTTATTTTGAAAAGATCAAGCTAAAAATGTTAGATCCAAATCTTCCAAAATGGAGGTACAAAATTTTTATTATTGTGTATATATACCACATTTTCTTGAATGGAATTCTATGCCTCCATCAGAAAGAATGACATTGCCCCATTTGTTAGGAAATGGAAAAACTTGGAAAAAATTATATTAAGTGAAGTAAGCCAGGCCCAAAGAAACGTAGGTCCCATGGTTTCCCTTATTTGTAATATCTAGTATATGTATGAGTCAAGCGGAAAAGGTCAGATAATGTGATGTCAGGAAAATGAACCCTTAGATGTGTATTTTAATGTTTTTTTCTTTCATGCATGTGTTTCTAACACATTTATAAGATTATCTCTTTGTTGCTTTGTATGCCCCTCCCCCACAGTATAACCCTTGCTTTCACTATATTTGATGTCAGTATAACTTGTGGAGGAGATGGGGAAAAACCAGTTGTTTAAGGATACAGGTGGACCTGTTGCAACAATGAGAAGTACAAGTTTTCATGTCCAAAACGAACTTTACAACGTTGGTGCGGGGTGGGGGGGGGTGGGGGGGGTGGGGGGGGTGTTGGGGGGGGGGGGAGGAAGGAGAAGGATTGGGATTGGGGGGGAGGGGGGAGGCTGGGAAGGGAGGTGAAAGGTAAACAAAGGAGGAGGCTGCAATGCTTGGTAAGAAATGTACACATTATCCTGCCCATGTAACTGTAACTCCTCTGTACAGTATGTTCACAAATAAAATTAAATTAAAATAAAAAAAATTTATTATTTTGTCTTTATGTTTTTTAAGTTAATAACAAATTCATGATTCCATTCGACTTCCAAAAGTGCTCTGACAGTGGCATTGATAAATAATAATTAATGTGATATTCAGCATGAAAAGGAGATTAATTTTCTGATAGATCGCAATGTTGGATGTATTGTTGAGACAAGAATAGAAATAAGTTATTGTAAAGATCTAATTTCCTGAAGAAAAAAGTCCACTATACAAAAATAATAAATATTTAAGGTGGTGAACTAACTTGTTAATTAACTCCTTTAGATCATTGCACAATATGTGCAAATACAAAAATTATATTGTACTTCAAATTAGATTATACTGTGTTAATCAGTAATTGTTGTAAAATTTTTAATGACTTTATCATATAATATTATTTTCAAAAATCTTTTTCACAAGCTATTTTGTATTAGCCTTGCATCTTCTATATACTCTTCTGTAATTGGGTAGGGGAAAATACAAAATGCTTAAATAGGGATACAAGTTTACCCATTGTAACAGTGAGATATACAAGACACTATGTTAAAAACAAAATTTACAACTTTGGCGGGGGCTGGGGCGGGGGAGTAATTGTGGAGGTGGGAGGGAAGGGATGGTAGGGGAAAAACAAAGGAGGAGGCAACAATGCTACATAGGAAATGTACTCATTACCTTGCTCCTGTAACTGTAACCCCTCTGCACAGTATTTTTACAAAAGAAAGTACAAAATATATTAACATGTCACTTGAAATAACATTTTCACTAAAACGTTTGATTAACTGAAGACGAAAATCTTTGACTACAAGAAATCAATGTTTAATGTAATGAATAAACGTGTTAATTACGCTGTTTAAGTCATTGTAAAATATGTGAACATACCTAAACATCATATTGTGCTTCAGACACAATTATATTTTGGCAATAAAACTTATCTTAAAATTTTAATGACTATTTTTTCTTTACAAAATCTTTCCAAAAATCTTCAAAAGCTATATTAACTGACTTTTAAATACCTGCTATGGGCCAGGTGTTGGAGGTGCCATTGGAGCCGGCTTGGCTTGTCAGCCCTGGTGAGCAGCTGGAGAGGGATAGATTTCAAAATGTTTAATGGAAGATAAAATAAAGGATATGCAATAAAGTAAAATGCTCTGAGTTTTATGGACTGTCCACTGGTCTTTGCATTGGTGTCCTGGGCACTGTTTATGAATGGCTGCCCTCCTTCTATTCTGAATACTCTTAAACTTAAGCATTGTCTCCTTCAAGGAAAATTCACATGAGACATTTTTCCTTAATACTTAGGAAAAGACATGTCTCTTCATCTAGTTTTGTGTGCATCATGCATTTCTGTGCCAGATATTTGCTAAGCTTTTGAGGATATGTGTGTGTTCTTTCTTAATTACGGAAAACACTTCCTTCTCAGAAGCTGGAGTGTCCTCTAAACCAACATTCATATCTTTTAGGTCCTAAATAAAGCAATATTTTGTGTGTTCTGCCTGGGGCTTGAAGTCAATCCCTAAGATTTTTGTCTCAAGGAACATAAACCACAGCTTCAATTCCAGGTTTTCGGTGTTTAATTGGAGATAAGATTATCACAAGAAATGCACTTCCTACTTTATGTATATAATTGTAACCCCTCTGTACCTCAACTTGACAGTAAAAGTTTTAAAAAGAGTCTCATAGATTCTTATAACCAATGCTGGCTTCAAACCACAATCCTTAGATCTCAGCCTCTTGTGTAGCATTATAAGCATGAGCTACAAGTGACCAACAGGAAAGCAGTTTTTACTTTGTTTAGTCTATGTGATCCAGATACAGAACGAATACAATGCAACAAGGCCAAAGTTGGGGACAGGAAGTAGATCCATACAGTGTGGAGAGAACATCTTCAACATAGAGAATCAAGGACAAGTGACCACAGACTGTGAAGCTAGAGTGACATGAAGGTGTGTTCCCCACATGGAGATTAGCATGTGGACTGACTTCATCCCATTGTGCACAATATCAGAACTGGAAATGATGAGCAGAGTACTCTCATGGCACATAACAAAGCCAAGACAGTGATGCTCTGCTGTGGTAGCACATGGGCAAATCATTGGCCACTCAGGGGCCTCTTCAAAACCATTCATTACAAGAATGCCATGAGAGTAGTTATTTCATCACCTCTACCTTCTTAAACATTAGCACTCACTGCACTACATGCTAGCATAACTGTTTCAAGTTTTCTACAATGCTCTTCTTTCTTCTTTTTACAATGATGTATAATCTTGTCTACAAGGTTTAAACATCCTTGCCACTCCTCTGAAATTTTACTTCCAATCATATCATATGGTCACTGTGTATCTCCTACTGCCTTTGTCTGGGGGAGATTTGCTCTCTCCACTATGCACTTCAGGACAAAGCTGATACTAAAGAAAACAAGGAGAAGGTAGATGTGAAGACTACCTAGTACATTATAAGGGACATATTAACTAGATGAAGAAGAGAGATCCTGAGAGCCTCTACTCTTTTATGGTTAAAAGAAGCCAGGCTCTGAGGATACACATTAAATTCCCATGATCCATGCTCCAAGGCTCACTTCAGCAAGTGTGGACATGTGGCTTGTGAACTTCAAGTCCACACAGACTTCAGGTACTGGAATATATGGAAGAGATCGAATACTAGACTCAAATCAGAGTTTTGGGCAGGCGTACATGGCCATGGGTTATGACAGATGGAGCTATCTGCCTGGGAGATGAGGCTGAAGACCACGCTGGAGGGGGAAACCAGCAGACATTTCCATGCATCTTTCTGGAAGAAGAAAATACATCCAAGAAAGGAAAGTGCTTATAGTCTGGGCCATGAACCTGAATGACATCTGGGACTAAGGTGAAAGTCTGAGAGACCCAGCCTTCAGAGCAGGGCTGACTCTCTGAAAGGATGATCCAGGGCTTTTCTCACTGATTCTGAGGGGCTGGGATAATATGGAAAGTCAACAGGGTCCTCAGGACAGAGCCTTAAATCCACTGGGGTCCCTTCTTATCAGAACATTGAGGAGCACATCACAAATGAATGCAGAATTTATACATGTATTATTTATATGTAGTAAATTACCTGTTAAATTAATACATTAATAAACATGATTTTAATTGTGTAAGTCATCATTTTGAATTTTGACACTGAGAAAATTCTCTAATGCACAATGTGCATGTCACCATGTAGCCCTTGCTCACTCTAAGCCTGAGCATCATGAAGCTCAGGACTAAATCTGTGTCCTTTAAGAGTGACCTGCTCATTGCAGAGGACTCTGGGGACCTGCTGGGGACAGCACTGATACTGCAGCTCCCTCTCCCCTCCCACATGGTGTACGCATATGATCCCTTCAGGGCTGCATATCTGCAGGGTCTCCCCTCCTTCCCTCACCTTTCTGACCTGTACTTAATGACTTTACTGTAAGAAACCTGGATCAAGTGTTATCAATGACAGGTATGATTACACTTTAAAAAGTAATATATGAAATGGTCAAGAAGTGGCACTGTGGCTCAAAGGGGTAGAGCTCTGGCCTTGACCTGAAAATCTCTGGGACAGTGCCCAGGCACATAGTTCAAGCTTCCAGACTGACAAAAAGTAAAGAAAGAACAGAAATGTCAAAAACTCTCATATGGGCAGACATGACCCCCTCTAATATCATGATCCTAGATTCTATGAATGCCACAAAAGCCTGGCAGAGATACTCAGATTCAAGCTCCTGTTTACAAAGGGAAACAAACAGGCAGCATCCCCTCTCTCCCAGAATGAGAAAACTTGGATTCTGCGTAGGATGCTGTTAATCATCTTGCTGATCACCCACATCCTGGGAAGCAGGGAGGAAAGCTGGATATAAGGACCCCATAACTTGTTCACTGATATCTAAGTGTGAGAACAAAAATCAATACTGATCAAGCAGGCTATTTAGTGAATGTCATTCTGTTCAGATCAAACAGGAAAATACCTTCATTCACAAGGATACAGTCAGGCTCAATGCAGACACACTGAGTCTGGAGCTTCAGTAGTCCTTTCTTACCACGGTCAAAGCTTCAGAATGGAGAATAATAAAGTTAGGGATTCTATGTCCCAAAGTCAACTCCTAAGGCTGATCCTGCTCAGGCAGAGCTGGTTTTTGGTATATTTGTTTGCCTTGTGTGCAGTAAGGAGCCAAAATACCTGGAGCAAGGTTTATTAATCAACTGGGATTAATTTTCTAGAAGTTGGGTAAATACAATATTCCTGACTGTCCTGATGATTCACATTCTTGTCATGTCCTTACAGGCTTGATGCCTGTGAAGAAGGCTAAAGAAAGTGTGTCTTGAAAAGTTTTCTTCTAATCATATTGGTGATATGGAAGTCACTCTTCACTATACTTCCTCTCTTCTTAAAATTATCTGTAAGTAGTTGTACAAATGAGTTGTCATTCAATAAAGCAGTTGATGAACACAATTCATCTTATTCAATATCACCCTTTTCATCATTCTTTCAACCCCTTTACTCAATTTTCTTAAGTTTTAGGACATGCATTGGATGTTATGCCTGCATTCTTAACATTCATTTCCTCCTTGCAGGTCACTTCCCATAAGGACACACACAGGGGACACAACTCCTTCCTTTAGAGACAGCTTTGGTGCCATACAGAATGCAGGGATAGAGGCAATGTCAGGCTTCCAGTCTCAGAATCAGCAAGGGCAGAGACTTTCACCCCCAAATCCATCCTTCTAGGAGAAGCTACTTAACTGTGAGTTTAGGTTTGGGGCTGTTGCTCTGTTCAGAGTTCCAGTGGGTGTCACTAGTGACAGCAGACATAGTTCTCTTATTTCCTCTCTAGTATTTCTTATTGGGGGCTTTGCGTGAGCAGTGTCAGATGTGCCATCTAATGGTCATACTGTAAAATTGCATCTTGTAAGATTAGAGAAACTAGATTTTATTAATCCTCATTCCCTCCCCTTCTCCCATTTCCTGTCATCTCCCGTTGCATATATTACCTGTCCAAAGGAGTTCATTATTAAACCTCCATACATACATGCATACAATTTATTTGCTCATACTTACCACTGGATATTTTATTCCTTTACTATTTACTTCTGATGTTTTATACTGATGACGTTCATATACTGTATTTCAGTTACAATACCACTATTGCCATCTCCTGTCCTCTCCCCTCCTTCCGGTTTCCATACCTAAACACACAGTCCCTCTTTACATTCATTGCAGTGTCTCTTTCCATCCTCACCTTTCTCCATTTCCCCATGTCTCCCTTCACACTTGTATGCACACAAAAGTGCACACACATACATGCACACATACTATAAGTCTCCGGTGTGTTACAAGGTATATCTATCCAGAGAGTGGGAAAGATATGAATCTTTATCTGGAACACTAAAAGATCAAATTAATATTTCCAGGGATAGGGGAATATTTGTTTCTGCCAGGAAAAAATGCTTATTTTATGCAATTACATAGTTACATTTGTTTGTTTGTTTTTTTCTTTTTTTTAAGTTTCAACTATGTCTTAAAGGACAGTATAATCAGCTCTTTACTTTGGCTTAAGTTTTCTCTGGCTCTGAATGTCCTCCCTGTCTGTCTTCTAATTCCTCAATAAAAAATTAACTCTCCTTTTCCATCTGCAAGATGTGTCTCAAGAAAGCATTTTCATCTGTGCCACTCTATTCCATGTATGTCTCTGCAGACTCAGGGTAAAATGCACATCCATAGACACAATCCAGCTGCTATCCTGTGAGCCTGAGGTCAAACAATGTGCCCTGGTGGCCCCGCCCTTCCATGCTTTATGGAGTGTGACAGCTGCTAAGTTCCTTAATTCTCTGCTTCAGCATCCTCGTTTGTGTAACTGTTACAGTAGTGTTGAACACTTTGCTGTATCTTTCCCTGCAATTTTACTTTCTTCCATCCACGGACCAATTTTCCCTTAGCTATTTTCACTCATAGGATCAGATATCTCATAATCCTAAGTATTTTCTTCAATGGCAACAAACCCCTGAAGTCTTTAATCACACTACATCTCTACCTCCTCAATCTATTTCCTCCTACATCCACAGTTAGAACATTGCCTGTAAAAGAGAGATGCCTTATGTTTGTCATTTTTACCTGCTCATAATTCACCTTTTTGTATACCTTTTCCCTAATACTTAACTCATGCTATTTAGTAGTGGAAACTTCAATACCCACCATAGAAATTCTTTCAGAGTGAGTTTTTCCCCCTAGTTATTCCTTATGATTGGTTGGATATATTTCCAGGTACAGTTATAATCAGTAGGACAATATTTTGTAAAAATGTAAGAGTTCACCTATACATTGGTTAAAAAATTTGGTAAGTCTTAAGAAGATAAATAAATGACATAACATATAATAACAAAACAATGTGACAATAATACTTATTAGACAATATATTGGAAATGAACTTTACAACTTGGGCTGGGGGAGTGGTTGGCAGGGAGACATTGGAGATAATGAGGAAGAGGTTGACACTATTCCAAAAAAAATCTATTCATTACCTTACATTTATAATTGTAACCCCTCTAAATATCACCTTTACAAAAAATGTGAAAACAATAAAATAGGGAAATTCAGAAAAATCATAGACTAATATCTTAATACATCATATATACAAAATAACATATATTTCATATAATTTATACTAATTATTATGTACTGTATCTTATACATCAGGTATAAATACAGAAATATGATGCATAAGTTGTATGCATATTTTCACTTGTCAATCTGAGAATCAGAGGGCTTCTGACTTAAGGAAGATCTGATTAATCTTGAGGTTTTTCCATTTTTCTTTCTATAAATAAAAGACGTCAGTGTTGTTCCGCTGATTGGTAGATTCTTGAGCTTAAAACAGAGAAGATTCAGTGAGCTAGGTGATTCAGTGATTCTTGGTGGGAACTGGTCTGGAGGACAGAGGGACTAAGCTCAAGAAACATCTCCCCTTCAGTGAACCTTGCAGGTGAGAGCACAGAATGGCTGGATACTCAGTGCCAACAGTGTTGTTTGTATTTGGTGTTTCTCTTGGTAATTTCAGCTTGATTGCTAAGTGGAACTAGGATGTAGACAATAGAAATAAACTAAATTTATCCTCCTTTCACCCCTCCTTTCTCTCCTTCCATTCATCTCCATCTCTTACTTTACTTCTCTCTCTGTCTCTCTCTGTCTCTCTCTCTCTGTCTCTCTCTCTCTCTCTCTCTCTCTCATTTTTCTTATTATTCTCGGAAATGTATGTTGATCAAGTCGAATATATTCCACAAGTAGAAATCTCTTTTAAAATTAGATAACTGATCTCTGCAGTTCATCATTCTGATTGAGTTAAAGAGAAAAACTATAGGCTGTCTCCATTTATATGAAAAAATATTTCTAATAGCATCAACAGCTAACCGTGACATATCAGCAGGCCAGGAATAATGGAAAATACCTGTTTCAAAAAAGAGGCAGGGCTGGGAAGGTGGCTCAGTGGTAGAGCGCTTGCCTTGCAAAAAAGAGGGAAACTCTGCAACAAACTTTGTACTCATTGATATAGTTATTTAGCATTTTACCACTCAAGTTTTATTGAAGTATGAAATATTCACTATTACCTTCTGTACCTAAAATTGTACTGAGGTTCTCCAAATGCAATAAGAAAAGATACAACTAATTGGAAAAAAAAGCACAAAAGACCTGAAGCAGAAAAAGGAAGTGGCAAACTGTCTTTACTTGCTGATGAAATTCATGCATAAAGTATTGAAAGTTCTCAAAATAAAAGTTTTGAAATAACTTCCAAGTATCTTTGTGCACATTGTGAACATCAATTCAAGATTTAAAAAACCTGAAAAAATTCAGAGTATTTCCATGTCTATAGTCTGGAATGTAATTTTAATATTTCAAAATTCAGGTCAGTACCAGTATCGCACATCTATAATTACACTTATTCCAAAGATTGAGACACAGAAGCTCACTGGTCCAGGATAGCCTGGGCAAGATTCCTGTCCTGATTCTAGGACAGCTCTTGCAAGAGGAAGCATGAGGAAAGCAGCTGGGACAGCCCAGGCTCACACTTCTGCTTCTTGGAGGTTTATGTTATGGTTTGTATCACTGTGGGTGGGTTATCATAATCCTGTTGACAGTAATAAGTGGCAATGTCTTCAGGCTGCAGGCTACTGATGGTGAGAGTGTACTCTGTCCCAGATCCACTGCCACTAAATCTGGAGGGGATGCCGGATTGTAAATTGTCTGCACCATAGATCAGGAGCTTTGGAGCTCCTCCTGGTTTCTGCTGGTACCAGTTTAACGCATAGTTAATGCCCTGACTGGCCCGGCAAGTGATGGTGACTCTGTCTCCAGGAGATGCAGACAAAGTGGATGGAGACTGGGTCATCTGGATGTCACATCTGGTACCTGCCATTGGAAAAGTAATAAGTATACATAGAATCAAGCATGTTATAAGAAAGCTTCATAAACAGCCAAGCATCACTGACTACAGCAGACTGAGGAGATCCTCAGCATACTCTTTCCTTACCTGTAATCCCGAGCAGCAGGAGCCCCAGGAACTGAGCAGGGGCCTTCATGTCCATGCTGTGTGTTGACTAAGACTGACTCCTGCCCAGGGTGTGAGCAGCTTTCAAGAACTGCTCAGGGCACTGGGCTGTGCTCTGGGCACATGCAAATCAGTAGGGGTTGGAAGGGACCAGCACAGCTGCACCAACATGCCAGATTTCAGTATCTCAGCCCAGACATGATGTCCCAGATACAAAAAAACCATACGAGGGTAGCACTGTTGTGCCTGAAGAGAATGTGTATCTCTCTGGGGTTCAGGGGACAGAATTCCTCTCTAGTTAAACACAATGAACTTTAATTTATACATGGGTCATTACATGCTTTTCATGATAGCATTTTATCTAAGTCAATTTTTCAAGCAAAAACGGTTCCAATATGTAGAATTAATGATTTAGATCAGATTTTCTAAGTCTTTGGTTTCCTTGAACCTGTTTGTTAATCATGGACACAATTACTCAATTACTCAAGCTACATGTGTATGTATGTTGATAGATTGACAGTTAAATAAATAGATGATAGACAAGAATCAATTAAGATTTAATGAAAGACAATGAAAAGTATGAAATTAAAGTATGTGCAGTATTGTGCTATGGTGTACAATGTACAGGCTAGCCATTGGGTTTTGCTATCAACTCCAGGTTGTCCTCTGTTTCTGAATGTACTTTCCCACCACCATCATCGAGTAGACTTAATATCAGACATTGGCTTTCTGTATACTGAACGGACCTGGCTACAGGCATAGCCTTATTATCATTGTACATTTCTGAGCTGCAAGTCTCCTAGTATGCATGAAGCCCTGGGTTCAATTCCTCAGTACCACATACACAGTAAAAGCCAGAAGTGGTGCTGTGACTCAAGTGGTAGAGCACTAACCTTGAGCACAGAGAGGGCCAGGGATAGCATCCAGGCCCTGAGCTCCAGTACAGGACTGGCAAAAAAAGACAGTCAGTCCCAGAGATGTAAGGTGGACTAAGCCAGACCCAAGGAAATAAAAGTCCCATGGTTTCTCTCATTCATAATAATTCATGTGTGTATAGGACAATTTATCAGATGAGCAGAAAAAGCTCAAAAGCCAAGGACATATGACCATATAACATGATGCTAAGCGAAATGAACCCCAAGATATAGCCACTGGAGGTCTTTCTTTATTGTTATTTTTAATGTACTATGTGATTATTTTCTTTCCTTTGTATGTTCTTCCCTCTAGGGTATATCTCCTGTTGTTACTGTACTTGATTTTGATACCCTGCATCTTGTATATACATTTGTCTAATTTGGAGAGGGGAAGAGGACTAACAAAATTGTGAAACAAAGACATAGGATGACACATCGCAACATATTCACAAGAGAGAATATGGGAAATGAACTTTATAACTTCGAGGGGGATCGGGGGGAAGGGGAGGGTGAAGGGGTGAGGGCAGTGAGGGAGGAAAGGGATAGAAGGAGAAAAACTTGGGAAAAGGTAACAATGCTCAACAGGAAATATACTGACTGACTCATTCATGTAAATGAAACCCCTCTGTACAGCATTTTTACAATAAAATAAAATTTACAAAAGTAAGGTTGCAGCAAAAGGTGAATATGAGCTTCAAATAACACAATTGGAAATACAATCCTCCAAATTTCACCCCCTTTCATAGCTTAGGATAAAAGCTACACAGCACTGTGTCTAGCACTATCATCTTATAAGCGGTTTTATGAACTTTTTGTACAGGATGGCCTTCAAACTACATATTCTCAACCCTCAATTAGGTAGAATTAGATGTGGGAGCCATTGGTGCCTTTTAAATTTTTATTTTATTGCAAAGATGCTGTTTAGATGGGGTTATAGTTACATGAGTAATGTAATGAGAACATTTCTTGTAGAGCATTATTAAACTCTCCTTTGTTTTTCTCCTCCTATCCTTTGAATGAAGCCTGAAAAAGTAAGTCCAAAAGTTGTACTGAGAAAAATGTGTGGACATATATGACTTGAGTGACCCCTAGTGTTTTGCTGGTGTAAGGACCAAATGATAGTAAATACCATTGAATTCCGGAAGCTCTGATGTCAAATTCCAGTTCTTCTCAATTAGAGTTAGTAGGAATTTCCATTATCTTGAGATATTTCTCTAAACTAATTTACTCTCTTGACCAAAGTCTTGTTTATCTTACCTGGTGATGGAAGTGTTCTTTTACTTTTTATTTTCATTATACCATGTAAATTTTTGAAATGACAAGCATTATTGAGACCTGGTCATAAAGCACTATTTTATTTATTTATTTATATTTTATTATTTGTGAACATACGGTACAGAGGGGTTAAAATTGCATGGGCAAGAGAATGAGTATATTTCTTATCAAGCATTGCAGCCTCCTCCTTTGTTTGCTCTTCACATCCCTTCCCAACTTCCCCCCGCCCCCCCACCCAAACATCCCCCCCACCCCAATACCACCCCCCCCCAAACCAAGGTTGTAAAGTTCGTTTTCGACATGACAACTTGTACTTCTCATTGTTGCAACGGGTCCACCTGTATCCTTAAACGACTTGTTTTTACCCCTCTCCTCTACAAATTATACCGACATCAAATATAGTGAAAGCAGGGGTTATACTGTGGGGGAGGGACATACAAAGCAACAAAGAAATAATCATATTAATGCGTTAGAAACAAATACATGAAAGAAAAATACCTTTAAATACATGTCTAAGGGTTCATTTTCCTAACATCACATTATCTGACCTTTTCTGCTTGACTCATACATATACTAGATATTGCAAATAAGGGAAACCATGGGAACTATGTTTCTTTGGGCTTGGCTTACTTCACTTAATATAATTTTTTCCAAGTCTTTCCATTTCCTAACAAATGGGGCAATGTCATTCTTTCTGATGGAGGCATAAAATTCCATTGTGTATATATACTACATTTTCTTAATCCATTCATCTACTGAGGGGCATCTGGGTTGGTTCCGTATCTTAACTACAGTAAATAATGCTGCAATAAACATAGTTGTGCTGGTAGCTTTAGTGTGGTCTTGTTTGTAAACATTTGGGTAAATGCCCAAAAGTGGGGCTGGGTCATAGGGGAACTCTATGTGAAGTCTTTTGAGGTACCTCCATACTGCTTTCCAAAGTGGTTGAACAAGTTTACACTCCCACCAACAATGAAGTAGAGTTCCCTTCTGTCCACATCCCCTCCAGCATCTGTTGTTAAGGTTCTTGATCTTTGCCATTCTAACTGAGGTGAGGTGGTATCTCAATGTTGTTTTGATTTGCATTTCTTTAATGGCTAGGGATGTTGAGCATTTCTTCATGTGTCTATTGGCCATCCTACTTTCTTCTTCAGAGAAGTTTCTCTTTAAGTCTTTCGTCCACTTATTTATTGGGCAGTTGTTTCTTTGAAGATTTGTTGGGGGATTTAATTTTTTAAGTTCCAAGTATATTTTAGATATGAGACCCTTGTCTGTTGTATGGCTAGTGAAGGTTTTCTCCCAATCCGTGGGCTGTCTATTGATCTTGCTAGCTATGTCCTTTGCCATGCAGAAGCTCTGCAACTTCGTGCAATCCCATTTGTCCAACCTTTCTTTGATTTGTTGTGTTTCTGGGTCTCTATTAAGAAAATTTCGGCCTGAGCCAAGGAGACCTAGGGTTTCTCCTATTCCATCCTGTAATGTTTTCAGAGTGTCCGCTTTGACTCTGAGGTCTTTGATCCATTTGGAGTTGATTCTGGTGCAGGGTGATATATAAGGATCTAGCTTTAGTTTTCTACAAGTAGTTAACCAATTTTTCCAGCACCATTTACTGAAGAGGCTGTCTTTCTTCTATTGTATTTTTTTAGCTCACTTATCGAAGATTAGACGACTGTAGGTTTGTAGGTTAATTTCTCGGTTTTCAATTCTATTCCATTGGACCTGAGGTCCCTCTTATGCCAGTACCAAGCTGTTTTGATTACTATGGCTTTATAGTAGAGCTTGAAATTTCTTATTGATATTCCTCCAGTAGTGTTCTTTCCGTTGAGGAGCGTTTTTGCTATTTGGGGTCTTTTATTGTTCCATATGAATTTTTGGATTGCTTCTTCTATTTCCTTAAAGAATGAGGTTAGAATTTTGATAGTTATCGCATTGAATTTGTAAATAGCCTTGGAAAGTATTGCCATTTTCACGATGTTAATCGTTCCAATCCAGGTACATGGGATGTTTTGCCATTTTCTAAGTTCTGTTTTGATTTCCTTTTTCAAGATTTTAAAGTTTTCATCATAGAGGTCCTTCACTTCTTTGGTTAAGTTAATTCCTAGGTATTTTATTTTTTGTGGGGCTATTACAAATGGAGTTGCTTTCTTAATTTCAGCCACACTTTTCTCATTGTTGGCATACAGAAAAGCCATTGATTTTGGGGGTTAATTTTATACCCTACTACTTTGCCAAAGTTTTGAATCAGCTTGAGTAATTTGGGAATGGAGATTATGAGATTCTTTAAATACAAGATCATGTCATCTGCAAAGAGGGAGAGTTTTATTTCTTCTTTCCCTATTTGGATCCCCTTTATGTTTGCATCTTGTCTTATTGCTGTAGCTAGGCATTCTAATACTAGATTGAAGAGAAGTGGAGAGGGTGGACATCCTTGTCTTGTTCCTGAGTTAAGTGGAAATGGCTTTAGTTTTTCACCATTAAGTATAATGCTGGCTGTAGGTTTGTCATATACAGGGTTTATTGTATTGAGGAATGTTCCATGGATTCCTAATTTTTCCAAAACCTTCATCATAAAGGGTTGTTGGATCTTGTCGAATGCTTTTTCTGCATCGCTTGAGATAACTATGTGGTTCTTATCCTTGCTCCTACTGATGTGATGAATAATATTAATTGATTTGCGTGTATTGAACCTGCATTGAATCCCTGAAATGAATCCTGTTTGATTGTGGTGTATGATTTTTTGGATGAATTGTTGAAGTCTATTGGCCAAAATTTTGTTGAGAAATTTTGCATCAATGTTCATCAAAGAAATGGGTCTATAGTTCTCTTTCTTTGAAGAGTCCCTGCCTGGTTTTGGGATGAGGGTTATGATGGCTTCATAGAATGTGTTCGGTAGTGACCTTTC